TTTACTTTCTCAGGTTCCAGTTGGTTTAAAGTATCGCGATATTTCCTCGCGTTGACTCTCAGTCACGTGGTCTCGTGCTGACATGGAATCAAAGATGGCGTCCTCCTGAGCGTCCATGCGCCTTCACTGACAGAAAAACTTCGTATTTTCTTCTCGTTCATTTTCTGAACTTGATTCAAACGAACCTCAAACTCTGCGCGGACCCTCTGAGACGTTCCCACAATGCAACACGACGACGTAAGTGTGATAAACTACGCGAAGCTGCCGCTACCGTGCTGCGTGTCCATGCTAACGTTAGCTTAGCGCTAATGATTGTGACTGGTTTTCTGCTGCTGCTCAGTTTCTGTTTGTTAAATTAAATCAGATCCGGACAGAGACTCGATGTTCGGTCAGTTGAGCTACATGCTAAGCTACATGCTAAGCTACATGGCTGCTCTGGATCAGACCGAACTTCATGATCTCTAGATCCGATCAGTAGAATCATGTTCGGACTCAACACGTGTTTCACCACATCGCGTGTTTATGTTCGGATAGGATGTGTATTGGTTTCAATGCAGTGACGTAATGTTCCCGTGTTGGTTTTTATTACAAACTTGATGAAACAGAATGAGCGTGAGTCTGTGACATCACAACGTGAGTCTGTGACATCACAACAGTTTAATATCAAAACTGCTTTTCAGTCATTGTTCATTTAAAACTATAAATCTTTGATTTGACTTCTTGATTTCTATAATTCCTTCGATGTGTTGAACATCAGAAAATAATGAATTAGTGTTTTCATGTCTGTTGCTAATGTGTCGGCCTGTAAATCATTTTCATTATTGATGAATCTGTAAAACATCAGTTAAATGTGGTAAATGTCCTCAGAGAGAGAGAGAGAGAGAGAGAGAGAGAGAGATGAATGAATCTGTGACGAGAAGCTTTTATTAAAATAGTCAGATTCTTCTGTCGATCCAGATTTTAAAAAGAAACAAAAGTTTTGGATTTAGATTCTAGAATTCCCTGTAAGTAGTTTTAAAAAAACAGAATAAAATGTTCAGGATCATCGTCCACAGATTCCAGACTGAGAGTAAGTGTGGATCTGAAAGAAGGAAACAAGATGTTGCTGTTGTTGAAATGTTTGAATTCAGGAAACAATCCAGAAAAATCCAAGTTCTCTGTCATTATTTTCTTTAAATGTTTGGATTTATTGTGTGGTCATGAAATTATTTGCTGATTAATTTAGTTGATCCATAAACTGACCGATGAGTCGTTGCAGCTGAAGACGATGACGAGTTTGTGTGAGAGAAGTTTCAGTTGTTGTGTTTTTATTAAATGTGTGTAAATGGTGAATTCTGCCCCCTGCAGGTCATCTGGGACATTATTGGAAACAAACAGTTCTGCTCCCACAAGGTCAAGTAAGTGAATCCAAGTTGTCTTTGTATATATAAATATATACCCTGTAGAGAATTAAGCCATTAGCACCGTTTGTCCCCGCTGGGACACGACAGCTCTGAGACTTGTTTCTCAGTTTCCTGTCCTGCGGTGAGCAGTGCACATGAGTCACCTGGTTACATATTGTGTTCATAAAGATGTGGAGCTACACAGTTGATAATAGTGACCACTCATGTTTAGCTTGTGAATGTTGTCCAGGATTTTGGCTAGTTAGCCGTGTACATGACGAACACCACAAGAGCGTGGGACGGAACGCTGGTCTGTAGGTTTCAGGTGGGACAGAGTGAATCATTGTTGAAGTCTCTGGTATAGAAACGTTTATTTTGTCCACGTGTGTGATATTTAGTTCTTTATCGTTATGTTTCATTACTTCACTGCACCGTGTTGGAACAACCCATCCCCCATAATAAACCCAACGCAGAGTCCCGGGTATGTAGAGAGACAGAGGGCGTGGCTTACATATACAGTCAGTGATCATCTTTATATACAGTCAGTGTCTTTATATACAGTCAGTGATCATCTTTATATACAGTCAGTGATNCTTTATATACAGTCAGTGATCATCTTTATATACAGTCAGTGATGGTGTTTATATACAGTCAGTGATCATCTTTATATACAGTCACTCTTTATATACAGTCAGTGTCTTTATATACAGTCAGTGATGGTTTCTCTTTGTGTTTTCAGAACGAAGAGTCAGAACTTTTGTCGTAATGAATACAACGTCACAGGTTTGTGTAACCGCTCGTCGTGTCCACTCTCCAACAGTCAGTACGCCACCATCAGGGAGGAGAAAGGTGAGTCATGTGATCAGCTGCAACAAACACACTGACGGGTTTTACGACCAGGAAAGAATTGTTATCTTATGAAATTGTAATAATATTAAAATGTAATAATAATCATTTATGTTGAAAAGTTTTTTTGTTCAGAAAACACAAAAACACCAGAATGATTTTTTTTAAATCAGCGATGAACAGAAAAATAATCTCCGAATGTTTTAACGTCAGATTATGTTAAATGATGACGTCACTTGTTCTTCATCAGTTTGATGAAAGCGATGATTCATGAAACGTGTCGTCTGCAGGTCAGTGTTTCCTCTACATGAAGGTCATCGAACGAGCAGCTTTTCCCGCCAAAATGTGGGAGAAGGTGAGTTTTAACCAGAACGAGATTCAGTTTCCATGACGACCGCACTGAACTTCAAATCCTGTGTCTCAGAAAAATCCAAAAAACAAGTTGATCATTGACTAATGTTGAATCTGTACATTTGTATATTTTCATGGACAATAAATAAGAAATGATACAAATATTGTTTAAACGTGAAATAGTTCAAATTAAAAACATTTACACAACGTGGTTCGTATTCATTTGCATCAGGTCTAAATGGGTCGATAACTTGTTTTGTGTGTCTGTGTGTGCTTGTCTGTGTGTGTCTGTGTGTGCGTGTCTGTGTGTGCCTGTCTGTGTGTGTCTGTGTGTGTCTGTGTGTGTGTGTCTGTGCGTGTCTGTGTGTGACTGTGTGTGTCTGTGCGTGTCTGTCTGTGTCTGTGTGTGTCTGCAGGTGAAGCTCAGTAAGAACTATGAAAAAGCTCTGGAACAGATCGACGAGAATCTGATTTATTGGCCTCGGTTCATCAGACACAAATGCAAACAGAGATTCACTAAAGTCACCCAGTATCTGATCCGCATGAGGAAACTGGTCCTGAAGAGACAGTGAGTGAATCTGACGACCTGCGTCACAACATGGAAACCGTTCGTCCAGCGTCTCGTGCCGACTCTCATCTTTAAAACTCTTCTTCTCTGTTTCAGGAGGAAGCTGGTTCCTCTCAGCAGGAAGGTGGAGCAGCGGGAGAAGAGGAAAGAGGTGAGTTAACGTCACAGAGGCCGAACATCTAGTGGTCGCACTCGAACGTCACAGGTTCAAGTTCCTGCTTATTAACCTTGTTCTTGCTGTGTTGGTAGGAAAAAGCTCTGATCGCCGCTCAGCTGGACAACGCCATCGAGAAGGAGCTGCTGGAGCGACTCAAACAGGGAACGGTACGAGTCCTCACGTCCTCTGAAACAAGGACAGTGTTGGTGATGGTCCTAACGTGTGTGTGTGTGTTTTCAGTACGGAGACATCTACAACTTCCCCGTCCACGCTTTCGACAAAGCTCTGGATCAGCAGGATGAAGAGAGCGAGTCTGAGGAAGAGTCTGAGGAGGAGGAGGAGGACGAGGAGGTGACGGACAATAGATAGATACATACTTTATTCATCTCCGAGGGGAAATTCTTGATTTTTTTAGTATTTTATAGAAAAATGTCTCCGAGCATTTCCGCTGTAAAATCAGACGAGGTTCTGATTCTTTGTTTCTTTGTCTGCAGGATGTCGGGAAGAGGGAGTTTGTAGCAGAGGAAGAAGTAGAGGAGAGCGACCTGAGCGACTTTGAGGTAAATAACAAAATCTGAGTCGGAGGTTTGATACGAAAAGTGAAATAAAAAACGTGACCAGTGAAGTGGAGACAGCGACACGACGACTTCTTTGTCACGTTGGACGTAGAAGTCACGAATCAGTGAGGGAAAAAACGTAAACATTAGTACACAGAGGAAGGAGGTGGATTCTGTCTCCGTCAAGAAGGAACCTTCTCACGTCAGTTTTTAAAAATGAAGTTTGTAAAGATGAAGATGATTGGAGGATTTTCTAAACGACCAAATAGAACAAACGATGTGACGATGAAAACGAATCTGTAAAACTAAAGGTGTGTGGTTCCTTCTCTCAGGACATGAACAGGCTGAAGACGAGCAGCGACGAGGAGGAAGAGGACGATGAGTCGAGTGAAGAGGAAGATGAAGATGAGGAGGAGATGGAGACAGAGACAAAGGCCTCCAAGTCTAAAGGCAAATCCCCGGCTAACGGCGTAGCGGCGAGGAAGAAGCGAGCGCACGTGGAGATCGAGTACGAGCAGGAGACAGAACCCGCCTCCAAGAGCATAGCTACGTAGTGATGTCGCCTGTCAATCAAACCCTGAGCAGAGACTCTGTCGACTCGCAAACTCACAGGAAGTGTTGCTCCGTCACCGTTCGACCCCGATTACCAACGTGTTCCTCGTCTCCCTGAGATTCAACAAGTCGAAGCCTTTTCACTGGAACTTGAAGAACTGAATAAATCCAGAAACAAAGAGTGAGTCAGTCGTTTCTGTGTAAACGAGGAGGCAGAGAAATCTGTCTGAGAGCAACTGACTCCTCGTTTACACATTTAAATCCAAACACATTTTAGAATCATCTGTGAGCGTCAGGAGGAAAACAGCTGCTCTGTTTTCTGACTTTGGTTTGTTTTGCTTCTGTTGAACGTTCAGCTTGTTAAGATGATTAACACGTGCATCAACTAAGTTCTCCTAAAAATACAATTAAGAAATATTGAATGTGAAAATAAAGATGAGAACCTGATTCAGTTAGTTATTAATGCGCTAAAACAGTCTCAGCCCCTGAAACATGAGGTTAATTCTTAATTGACTAATGTTTTTTTATTTCTTTTTATAAATGTAATAAAACATCTGCGCCCTTTAAAAAAGTCTCAAATAACTGACTAACATCTGAAGGAGTCGACATGGACTCAATTATTCTCATGAACAAACACTTCAAGTCTTAAATGTACATTTATTTAATGTATATTAATCCAACACAACTTTGTAGATTTGACTTGAGTATTTTTCTCTGTTAATACTTTATTTAGACAAAGATGCACTGAACTGATGTGTATTAAACTTTAGACATTTTCTTTGTGTCTCTCCTGAAGCTGAAACAGAAGAAACAGACTCAGCAGTGAAAAAAACCAGAAACAGTTTATTTTAGTAAATAGTGAGTTTTTCACTGAGCTGTACAACACTGGCATCTGGAGTTGGCACTCTTTAAAGGGACAATCCACCAAAAACAGAACTCACAGCCGCCATCACCTCCCACTCTCTCATGATAACTGATGTCTCTTCTGTTTGGACGAGGATTTCTTCTTTTTATTTTTTTATTTTTGCTCAATAACCATAAAATACCAGCCTGAGACACAAAGTACAAAATATAACAGAGAAAAGAGGGAACTGAAATGAAAAGGCACCAAAGCGACAACGACAGAATCAGCTGATCAACTGAAAACTACACAGACATGCAACTCACATCGATTAACACGGAGCTATAGAGGCATGCAAAAACAACACTGCTCTGAACAGGCTGACACACACACACACACACACACACACCCAGCAGGCTCACTACAGTCCAAACATCCTGTGGTTTTAGCCTGAAGACAGATGCATTGTGGGTAACCCTCTCAACAACATCCACATTAACTGTAAAAGTAATCAAATAATTTCTCTGCGTCAGACGAACTGAATGATGTCGACACGTCACATGTTGGTGACAGACGAACACGTGAGGAGATTAAACAAACCTCAGTGGACGAGTCTTTATTTTATCACAAACTGGTTTTTACTGTTTTCAGTTAATCCGTCAATTTATTCTATTTAAATTAATCGTTTTCGGAAAATTAAACACAAACAAACTAGTTTCTTAGAGCTGACGACATCGAGTGTCTGACAGGGAAACGTCTCAGAACACGTTCATGTGAACGAAGACACATTTATCAAAAACGTTCCTGATAAACTTTCTGTCAATCCACTGATCGCTTCTGATTCCAGAACAGTTCTGACAGGTTCTAACATTTAGATCCACAAACAGCCTCGTTATAACCTCAGAACAAAAAGTTCTCTCTGTACGTGAAGAACCATTTGATGTGCTCTAGAATCAGAACGTGTGGTTCCACCGACAAAACACGTTCAAGAATGTTCTTAAGGTCAAAACAGATTCTAGAATCAGAACAAATGGTTGAAGTGAATTGTTCTAAACAACATTAGACAAACATCCACCGTCTGTGTTCTAGATTCAAACTGACGTCTGTGGCAGAAGTCAGTTCTGAATTTGGCGATTTCAGAAAAGTTGTTCTGTAGAGTGGGAGTGTTCTAAACACGGTTCACACAAACCACAGGTTCGAGAACAGGATGCTAATGAAACCGTGGAACCGACTTCACGTCCTGAACCAGACTGTTCCTGTTCTGGAATAAGAACCTGAAGGTTCCACGATGAGATGTTATTTTTTCTGAACTTCCACAGAATGAACTTCCAGAGTTTCCAGTTTCTAGAATCACTGTCAGGACGTCTACAAGCAGCTGATTCCAGATCAGGGATGAAGTAGATAAAGTTCTAGATGTTCATAGATTTTCATCAGGAACGTTCTCAAAGTCAATCAGTTGGAATCAGAGAGAAAATCTTTTACGAAACATTCGTGTAAACGCGACAGGTTCTGCATCAGGTGTTTGGTGGGAGGAGCTACATGGGCTGAGAGCGGATTGGTGGGATGTGAAATGATTGAGAAAGTTTCTTCAAGCTCTCGTTGGTCTGAATTCTTTAAAACTTTATCGCGAGCTGTGAAGTGATTTGTCAGTCAGCACGTTACAGTCATGAGAACAACAATCAAACAGAGGATGACGTGGAGCTGAAGAGAATCCAGAGCTGGAACAGAACGGATGATTACAGAGAAAACAAAGTTCCAGTTCCACGATGTGAAAACAGAAAAACTGCAGATTTTTATTAAACGTCCAGCGTCGGAACCTGCGGTGGGGGGGGGGGCAATCTGTGAGGGGGAATATCTTTTAATTCTGCTCACGTTTTGTTTTTTAATAAACTTGTGGACAGATCAATTCAGAACCGAGAGAAACTTACACCCCCCCCCCAGTATTTCACATTTACAGTCATTCATTAAATGGTGTTTAAAGTTTTAACTGATGCAGCATCATCATAATGATCTTTTTCACCGAGGCTCAAAAACACTTAATACTTCCTGGAAATATTTTGGCACAAATATAAAAACATCAGATGAAAAAAACAACAAAAAAAACACACAAGTCGAAGCTTTTTGTTGAAAAATGAAACTGAACCAGAAACAAACACATTAAAAAAAAGTTCAACTTAAAATCGTCGCGAGGAAAACGACGCCATGAGCGACGCGACGGTTCCTCTACGATCACGTACGTCTGACAGCTGAAAGTCATTGTGGGAAATGTGGGGATCAGATGATGAAAGAGTTCGTGTCCTCCGGTTTCTCCACAGCCGTAAGTCAACAGCTGACCACCGGGGGGCGGGGTCAGTACCGCTCTGTGATTGGACACGCGCTCCTCATGTCCGCCCCTGTAAAGGCAGATGGGGACAAACGATGGAACCTGGCGGTTCAGAGAGTTCAGGGGGATCCTGACGTCTCGTTCCTTCATTGACCCCGTCAGACTCAGAGCTGAACGCCCCGCCCACCTCGACGGGGTTTCAGGAGACGGAGGTTGTTCTGTTGACGTGTCGACTGGAGGGTCTCAGGATCGAGTCCTCTCAGGAGTCACACCAAACCATCAGAGTCACCGGTCGTCTATAAATCCGATAAAGATGATGAACACGAGTCGACACTCGTCTCTCCACCTGCAGCTGGTTTGTCGTTTGAACGCGGGGGAACGTTTTGTTTCTTTTCTGTTTTTAAGGCGTTTTCATCAAAGTCGAGAGTAAAGAACAGAAATAATGGCGTCTCCACAGATCGTGATGAGTCTCAGGACGTTTTAAACCCGAGCTGGGGTTCTTCTTCACTGGGCGGGGGGGCTGGGGGTTAATGGTGGGGGTGGATCAGGACTCATCAAGTCTTTGAGGGACGTTCTGGACCAGGTCTCCTGGTCTTAGGACGTCTTGACCAGGTCGTAGACGTAGATGTGGAAGTCGTCATCGAACTTGATGAAGTAGACGGAGGGTTTGGCCTCCACCTGGTGGATGACCATACCCGACCTCTTCCCGCCGTCCTCTTTGGCGTACTCGACCTGTTTGCCCACCAGACTGTCGACCACCTCGCCGGGCTCCCGCTCTGCCGCCACACTGTCGTCTACACGGACACAAAGAGATGATGGATGACAACATGTGCTTTTATTTTGACATGAGTTTCAATTTCACGTCGACGACATCGTCCAACACAAAACGCACAACTTTAAAAGTAAAAGTTCAAGATCCAGAATGTTTCAGTTTCCAGACACCGAAGAGAAAAAGTGGAACCTTCAAATATTAACTAATCAAAACACCTGCAGATCAGCTGTCAATCACAACGTCTGTTCGATGCCCTGCACAGGAGCTCCTGACCCGCTCTCCGTTTGAACCGAGTCTCAGGAGATTCACTAAAACTCATTTCATCTGGTGGCGAGGAGACACGCCCACCTTCTACCTGAGCGTCTCCACTCAAATCATATCAATTCTGAACAGTGAGAAAATCATTTTCAGTCTTTTTCTAATCTGATGAAATGATGTTCAGCCTGTTTCTACCTCATCTCAAGAATTCAACCCAAACTTATCAGAAACACTTGACGTCACATGTCCCAGGAACCGTGGACAGACTCTGTCTTCACTGAGGGACTCATGTCGTCTTATTTCCGTCTATACTTCGTACCGCGTCCTGCAGGAGATTGTGAAACGAGTGACTCACTGGAGTCGGGCATGATGCGGAGGTCTCCCTCCTTGTAGTCGTCCAGCAGCTGGTACATGTAGAGAACCGGGTCCTTCTCGTATGTGATGTAGAACCAGGACGTCATGATGGGCGCTCGGGCCAGAACCATCCCCCGCCACTCCTCCTTCGGCCCGTCCTCCGTCTCAAACATGTGCTCCACCGCTTTACCGATCATCGTCTCCGCCAGCAGCGAGTCGCTCACACGGGCCGGAGCTGGACCAATCACAAGACAGACTTCACATCTACTGACATTCAACTGACCGAAACACTTTTCACTACTTTACAGGTTTATTTATATCGTTTATTTCAGGACATAAATAACATTAATCCGACTCGTCCGCTCTCGGGGGAGTGTCCGTCCTCACCCACTCTGTCGGGCAGCACCTCCAGCCCCACCACCCGCTCGTCACTGTACAGCTCCAGGCCGTAGATGCAGTCGAAGCCGTCGTATTTGATCAGATAGAGGGAGGGGTTAACGGGGACCTGGTCCAGGACCGTCCCCTTCCACTGAGACGACTTACCTGAGAGGAATCAGAGAAACAACACGCTCACATTTATTCTCTGAACAGGAAACAAGACTCCTCCAAACGAGCACGGACGATCAGACGATGGATCAATAAATGATTCATCACAGACATTAAAACGCAGCCGGAGGTTCTAACTCCAACCAGAGCATCTGTGAGTCACAACACTGAGACAACAAATGAACATCCTTCGACCACTGGGCGTCGCCATCGTAGAAAACCCCCCCGACAATAAAGGATCTCAGTTCACGTTATCTGCGACTTACTTCCCTCCTTCCAGATGTGCTGGATCCTGCAGCCCACGATGTTCCTCCTGGGAGGAGTCAGGGTTTTACTGGGACCAACACTGGTCCTCTGCTTCCTGCAGGGGGCGCCACAACGAAGAGAGAGGAGGAGGTTGAATGGAGAGAGAACGCGAAGAAGAATATGATGAGATGGACGGAAGAGGAGAAAAAGAAAAAACTAATTAAAGTCATGAAGTAAAAAGAAGAAAATGATGATTTTATAACATTTGATCTCAAGATTTTATAAAATGTGATTTTAAAGACTTACTTGTGCGAGTTCTTTTTCTTCATCATGTTTGCAGACACACCTGAGTGTCCTGAAACACACACACACACACACACACACATCAGTACAGCACACTGACGGGTGGTGCGTTCAGGGACCACATGTGTTTCGTTCGTTCTTCAGAAACATTTGATTTTCTCCTGAACATTCGTCAGCTCTGAACTCGGAGTCTCTCCTGCATCATCTCGAACGTGTTTTTGTTCTGATC